GGCCTCTGAGATGCCTGTTAGTAGTTTTGGGCTTTGTACCAAGAGTAGAGAATGTTTAAAACTTCAAAAATTCCTCTTTTGTTACATGGAGAAGAAAGACATTTTTTAAGTAAAAGGCCAGCTCGTTCTCATAACTTGGAAGATTAATTGACTGAAGTGGGTTACAAATTACACTGAGCTAAAAAAGCATTTTCCAAAGTATATTCTATAGATGAGCTATTCATTGTTACCATACAAACAAAAAAAAATGTTTCATAGTCAAATAGGTTTGGGAATGAAAAGTTAAGATCAAGTGGATACCTTTAGAACAGAAAATTAGATTCTTTATTCAGAGTGCTAATGTCTGTTGTAAATTTCTAAAAGGATTATAGGAAAATCTTAAATTCCTAAATTTATTTGGTATGGAACCCTTATTTTACACTGTTTCTCTCAGGATTACGACTCTTCTATGGAACACACTTTTGGAGATGCTGACCTGTAAGAATAGCCACATTATTTTCAGAAAACTGACATTTCATACTCTTTTCATAACAAATAAATAAAAATAATGTAACTTCATTCTTCGAGGAAGTTTATTCCCTTGAAATGAAGATAATTCTATTCAACATTCTTGTTAAATTAGTGAATTGAATTCTATTATTTACAGTAGGAATGGTTTCCACCGATCAACTCACCTTTGCAACCGAGATCAAATTCCCCAAAGATGGGAGTAATGGCGAGTACCCATTTGTGGGTACAGAGAAATGCAGATTCTCTTGCCCCACCAGTAATTAGACAATGTCAAGGGACAATGGTTTCTTCATTTCTGTGTTTTAAATTGGGTTCCACAATCAGATTTTTAGGTTCCATGTTGGCTTGGGTTTTTTTAAGAACTCCACCAGAGCTTTTGTGTAGGAAAAAAAGTGGTTGAAAAATATGCTAGAAACCGAGTTATATTGCCTCACTCACTAGACTGCTGAAACATACATAGGGGAACAGTGCTCTGCACATGGGAATGTGCTCACTGAGAGGAGGGTAGGAATAAGTAGTCATCCTACAGGCAGCAAACTGCAATAGAGGTGAAGTCCTTCGCCCAGATTAAAGAAATAAAAGCAGAAGCAGAAGTTGTAATTTCTTGGGCTCTCCTTAATTTGGAAGTCAGCTTCTCCCCAGGCTTAGGTCTTACATTTGAACTTTCATGTCTATAAGAAATCTGGAGTTGAGTATTTCTTTCAAAAATTAATTATCCTCTCTGGTGTGAATAAACTGTAATAGTACATAAGATCCTAATGAGATAACTGACATTGTGAAATGGGAAGAAAATGTCTAAAGGTGTAGGGAAGGTGGGAAGGGTAGGGGAAGGGTACTAAGGGAAAAGAAAAAATGTGAGAAAGTGAAAAGATGGAAATAAAGTATTTGTAAATGGGGAGAGGAGGAGGAGGTGAAGGGAGGGCAGGGACAAGGGGAAAAAATGAGAACCAAGACCTGTCATGTAGAGGTACAAGATCCCAACAATGAATGTAACTGTACCGTATCCCTAAAATGTACCAATAAACTCAATGAAAAAAATTAATTATCATCATTTTTAATTGCATTTATGGAATTCAGTGTGATAATGCAGTCCATGTATAAAATTATAATAATCCAATCAGGAAAATGAGTACTTCTATAACCTTACAAATTTTAAAAATTGTATTAATATATAATAATTCTAAATATTTATGAGGTAAAGTGTGGTATTTCAATACATGTGTGCACTGTGCATTTGAATAGGTTCTCAAAATCAGATAAGCTTTTTAGTGTGTATATAAAGGAATAGATATGCGTGGTATGTGTACAAAATACCGAAAGGATGTCTGAGGTAAAAAAAAAAAAAATTCAAAGCACTCAAAACCTACTTTTCAAACCTAGTTTCCACTTCTTTTTTTTTTTTTTTTTTTTGGAACTGGGGATTGAACTCAAGGCAGGTGGCAGAACCACTGAGCCAAATCCCCAGTAAACAGTTTCCACTTCTGAAAGTCTTTATGCACCAGCTAAGTTGAACTACTGTTTTCCACAGTGGTTGCACTAGTCTGCATTCCTACCAACAGTGGAGAAAGTTTTCTTTTCTCCCACAGCCCCACCAGCACTTGTTACTGGTTGATTTCATGATAGCAGCCATGCTTTCTGGATTGAGGCAGAATCTCAGTGTCGTTGTTTTCATTTGCATCTCTTGAAGGACCAGTGATGTTGAACATTTTTTCATGTTTATTTGTTGTTTCTACCTCTTTGATAAATGTCTGTTCAGATGCCTATTTTGGGATTGGGTCTTTAAATTTGGGAGGTCTGATTTTTTTTTAAGTTCTTTTTATATTCTAGATAGTAGACCTTTGAGGAATAGCTGGTACAAATGTTTTCACATATTTTGGGTTGTCTCTTCACTCTGTTGGTGGTTTCTGTTACTGTGCAGAAGCTTTTTAGTAAGATGAAATCCCAGTTGTTGATTCTTTCTGCTAGTTCACATGCAACTGAAGTTTCATTCATGAAATCTTTTTCTGCGCCAATATCTTCAGGAGTTTTACCTAACCTCTCTTCCGGCTGGTTTAGCATTTCTCTTTTAGTATTTATCTTTGATCTATTGCAATTTCAGTTTAGTGCATGTTGAGAGATATAGGTCTTAGTTTTAATCTTTGGCAAATTGAAATCCACTTTTTCCAGCACCATTTATGAAGAGGCTACCTTTCCTCCAGTGAGAGTTTTGAGCTCCTTTTACAAAGATGAGGTGGTTCAGTATGCTGGAGCTCTTTCTGCATATTCTCATCTGTTTTATGGATGCTCGGGTCTATTTCTTTGCCAGCACCATGCTGTTTTTATCACAGTAACTTTATACTGTAGTTTCAAGTTGGGAATTGTGATACCCACTAGGTATAGCGATGCCTCAAAAAATTAGGATGAGAGGCCCCATTTGACCCAGCTATTCTCCTGATGGGTGTCTTCTCAAAAGAATTAAAAGAATCATACCACAGCAATATATGTGCACTCATGTTTATAGCAGCACAGTTTGTAATATTTAAAACCTGGAAACAGCCCAGTTACCCATCAACTGGTGACTGGATAAAGATGTTTTTTTTTTTTTAAATAAAATGAAGTACTACTCAGCCATAAAGAATGAGAAACTGGACACATGTATAGCTAAATGGACAGTGGTTCCGCTGCCTGCTTTGCCAGTGCAAGGTCCCACGTTCCATCCCCAGTACCAAAAAAAGAAAAAGTCATTTATAGCTAAATGGATGCACAGTGAGGCCGTATTCTTCAGTGAAATAAATAGGATGCACATATGTAAAAACCAAATAGTTTCTCTGGTGTGAAAAACTGAAGTGTAAATAAGGATCAAAATGTATAATAGATAATATGAAATAGGAATATAAGACCCAAAGGGACGAGGGAAGTGGGAGGGGTAGGGGAAAGGAAAGAAGGGAAAGGAATAAATATGAGAAAAGGAAAAACCAGAAACAAAGTCTTTGTAAATAGGGAAGGGTGGGGAGGTGCAAGGGAGGGCTGGGCAACGGGGAAAAAACTAAGAACCAAGATACATCATGTAAAGGTACAAATTCCCAATGATGAGTGCCATTATAGTATAGACCTAAAAATGTACCAATAAACTTAATGAATTAAATAAATACATAAGTAAATTGAACCATTATGTTTATTATTAATTAGTTCATCGATATTTTTCCTATCTCTATTCCTTGTTTTTAATCTGCTTATCTTGTTTTATTTGCTTAGGAGGTCTTAGGTTTTCAAAATCACATTCAATTTTCAAATTATATCTCAGAATATTAACTCTGCCCTGGTCCTCCCAATCAGAAATTATCTGTCTCATTATGAGATTTTATTTTTACAACATTAATCAACTTTTAACCTAGCCTGGATTTTAGTTTTTTTGGTACATTTTATGTTATTCAGACCTACACTCCCCTCCCACAGCTGCTCAGCTTCTTATAATGGGACCATCGCTCATCCCAGCTCACACACATCTGATCCCTGAGGTGCCCTGGTGGGCAGTGTACGTATGTTTTGGTTTGATTTAACAAGTGGACTTGAAATTCATCAGAGGCAGAGATTAATGACCAGCACGTAAGATGACATTTCAAAATTATACTTTACATCCTCCATTGACTGTTGTGCCACTGCATACTGAACACAGTTTACTCTTTGGCAGGGGGACAGAACATTAGGACACATTGTAGATAACTAGCAGATGATTTAAAAATCTGCTAGTGCGGTAAGAGGTGATCATGCCACTCCACATGTGAGATCGTAACCATTCAACCCTAGGTGAAATAAAGATCCTACTGATGAACAGTAATATATATATTTAAAACTTCACCTCTTTCCTTTATTCTTTCCTCATGTGCTATGATCTGCAGAGCCATAGAAAAACACTTGATTTTTACGACAAGGCAGCCATTCAGACTATTGTGCTCTTGTCGTGAATGGTGAGCCGTTAGGTGCCATACTCTGTCCTCCCCGTGGGAGAAACTCACTCTTGATAGCAACTGGAAGCTTGAAGAAATATTTAGAGGAAAAAATGCTTGAGGCATTAAATAAAATACTTTTAATGTTGACCTTCGATTCCCTGTAAGGTGTAATATTAGTCCTGCACAAACCACAAATTTCATTCTGTTCGTGTTCGTTGAAGTGGCTTCCTTGTGGATATCTGTGTTGCAGTTTTCAGCAGTTCTCCGGATGATATGCTGTTGAAGTCAGCATGGATGGATGGCTCTTCATTTCTCAGAATTTCTTTATTTCAGTCCTGACATGAAAAGGCAGCTCCAGAATTGTTTAATGGGCAGTGACCTGGTTGACAGGAGGGACAACAGACTGTCCAGCTAAAATTGTATCACAAATACCATTTTTACTTACATGTATCTTGTTTAGGGACATTGATCCTCTTCAAGTCAAAAACAATGAAAAGCAGAAGATACGCTGATATTAGGAATGTACTCATTTAAGTATTTGTGTCTTTTGTGTCTTTCTAGGATCAAGATGAAATTTCAAAAACCCAAAATGAAGTTCATTTTCACGCGTCGATGCTTAGCAATCTTCTTTCTCCTCTGTGTAAGTAGCAGTTCTTCTGTGTTATTTGAGACCGCTCTACAGACAGGAATGTTTGAGTGTGAGTGACTGAGTTGGCATCTGCAAGAGTAGGCACTATTCTCCATAAGCCAAAACTAAGTTCCTTAAAACCATAATTTCTCTTAATGTTTAATGTCCCTTCTGAACTCTCACTGGTGTAGTGATCTACCCAGAAATTTGAGTTTGGCTTTCCTACAAAAATTGAGTCTTCACTTGAGATATCTATCTCTCTCTTACCCTTGAAAATTAGCATAGAAGTTTAGTGATGTTGTTGGATAAATTTTTTGTGTGTTTGCCATAGAGATTTGAAATCATTTCTGGGGAGCTTTAGCACTTTTTAAATATCCAAACTTTATAAGTCTGATTATTTCAAACATATTACTCATCAAACACAAAATCTTCATTGCCATTCCATAATTTACTCTTTAACCTTTTAAATCATGTTCAATTTATATTGTTTCACAGCGTTTTGTTCCTAAGGGACCTAGTTAGTTAAAAGCGTTGTCATCTTAGCAGACACTATCAATGACTATGTATCTGTGTCAGCGTTGTTAAGCCACCCTCACATCACCCCCAGTAACACACAAAAAGAAGACGCATACATTTAACCTAAATCAGTTTGGGGTCATCTTGAATTTTGTCCTTTCTTGGATATCAGTTTAACACTTGCCTTTCAATTGTGGTTGAAAGTAAAGATCATTCCGTGTCTCATACTTTCATACTAATCCACCAAAACTTGCATAGAGTTCCCAAATTTCCACTGTTTATTAACATGGAGTTACAGGCTTACAAGTTACCAATACTGTTTCTCTTTACATTATTCAAGAAAAAATATTACTAGTGTTCCATAAATGTTAATATAATCTGTCAAAGGAACTTTTATTTTGTGAAATTATATGTCAGATAAGTGTTTTATAGGAATGATTATTGATGCAATCCTTTTTCTTGTTTTGTTTTGCTTTGTTTTTGAGACAGGGTCTCACTATGTAGTTGAGACTGACTTGGAACTCACTGTGTAGCCCAGGCTGGTCTTGAACTCACAGTGATCCTCCTGCCTCAAGCTCCTGAGGGCTGGGACTATAGGCGTCTGCCACCTTGCCTGGTTAATGCAACCCTTTGCACCTCTTTCAATAATAAAAAGTCTTTTATTACGCCAGACCAACATATTATTGTAAATATTTCTTTAGTGGTATTACAATATAATTTTCTAAAAGTAACCCAGTATTTGGAAGCAGGTTATTTAATGTCATTATAAACCCAATAAAAATGCTTAAACAAAAATATTATAGGAACTAATAATTTATGGCTAATGTATAGCAGTATTTCTGCATCTGGAGAATATCACATAAGGCTTGGACATTTATAGACAAAATAAATTATTAGTTTTGAATTTGAAAGGTTTTATATAAGCATAGACTCATATGTTCACTTAAACCTTTCAAATTCAAAAGTAATCCTTAACATAGAATCTCCTCAAAGTATCCTTTTTAAAAGAGTCACAAGCCTCACAGTTGCCCAGCTAGCTCAGTCGGTAGAGCACGAGACTCTTACAAGTTTCACAAGCCATGTTCCAATTCCTGTGTCAGTAAAATATGTAAGAATATCGGCCTTTCTTGCTGAACTGTGTTCTCCGTGGGAGCAGGATCCATGCTTGTTTTGTCCAGCACATGTCCCTAGCATGTAGCACAGTACTAAGTTCAACGAATACATCCTCACTGATTGAGAAAAGAGCCATATGTCAACAGAATTGCGTTCCATTACCTAGAGGGTTTGCGCATTTTATATCATTTTGATGGGTTTATTAATTTCTCTTCCTTCTCTCATAAATTCAAGAGACACCTGGGCTGGGGATTTAGCTAGCACAAGGTCCTGAGTTCAGTAGACGATACCAAAAAAAAAAAAAAAAGAAAGTAACAAATCTAAAAGTAATTAATTTTTTTTTAGTTTATTGGTACATTTTAGGTATACAGTACAGTTACATTCTTCATTGGGATCTTGTACCTTTACATGACAGGTCTTGGTTCTCATTTTTTCCCCTTGTCCCTGCCCTCCCTTCACCCAATTAAATATTTAAAGAGTAATGTCAACTTTATTTACAACAGGTGCCCGTTTCGTGTTATACCAATAACATTATAAAGGAAGAAGTCATCATCCTCTGTTCAGATGGCTTGTAGACACCTCTAAAATCCCCAAAAGAACTTACCTTCTTCCCCCTACTAAGGTTTTTCCTTTCCCCACATCTCCCCTTTCTCAGGAAACTACCATTTATTCCAGTGATAGCAGGCAACTCCCTGGGCTCTTTCACTGTTATTGCTCTCTGTTCCTTATTATCCGTATTTTAGTCGTCTGACACAGTGCTGAGATTTGCATTTTATTGTTTTGTTATGGAGCAGCCCATTCCAACTTCCTGGCTGCCCTCCCCAGATATAAGCTGCAGATATTTGCTGCCTGCAGCATGGGTGTTACTGAAATTCTCCTTCCACAACCTTCACTGATCAAGAATCCACAAACTATTTTTATCTTCCATGTTTTAATAATATTGGCTTTGGAACTGCAGATTTAGCTCAGTGACACTGCTCCTGCCTCACAAGCGCAAGGTCCTGAGTTCAATCCCCAGTGCTGAAAAAGCAAAACAAATAATATTAGCTTCATTTCATTGTTCATCTTCACAACACCTGCGAAGGATAAATGTCATTTGTACTATTCATACTTCACAAGTGAGGAAACATAAACTTGGAAGGATTTCTAAGCTATTCAACTGAACAGTACGAGATGTAACTTTGTATTTGATTTCCAAGCGCTGCATTTTGTCACTTCTTGACTCTGTGTCTTACCTACCCTCAGATACTTTCCTTCCGGCGGAGTAGTTCCACTGCAGGGTCTCCCAGGTCTTTCCCCGTCTTTGTGCGTTCCTTCCCCTCCATTCCAAAAGCCTCCCTCTCCTCTGCCTAACCAGACCCTCCACACACTCAAGGTCCAATTCAGTTCTGTCTTGTCTGTAGCCATCACAGAGTATTTTTATTCTGTATTCTCTCTCTACTCTGAATTTCAGTTGGATTTTGTATTTTCAAGCTCAGCATTAGTGAATGCCACCTCATGGGACATAAACAATGACATACATTTTGCTATGACTCTCCTTCAGTGTAGAGGTCAACTTCATAGGATGAGCTTGGATTTAGAGACTGGGGAATACAGAAGGAAACACAAAATTGCCATTGATACACTTGGGAAAACTTCAGTTTTGGAATAACGTAGAATAAGACCCAAAAACTATGTATTTCAATGAGTGTGACAGGAAAAAAAATAGTATTCTTAACTTCAGGAACAGGAAAGTTAGCACAGGGTGACGTTTGTAGGTCATCTAAAAAAATATTTTTAAAAAACATATGCAAAGCATGAGCATTAAAAAATCATAGATTCAAGCACCACTAAAAACATCAGTCACACCTACAAAAGAAATTGAACTCTGAAATAGAAACATAAGTTAGAAAGGACAGTATGATGGAAAGGAATCTTACACACACACACACACACACACACACACACACAGAGACACACCAGCTTCACAAACAGAGCTGTGATGGTGATGATGTATAACAGAAACTGAAAGTGTCAACTTGTGCCAGAAATACAAATGAGATAAATATTTAAGAACAACATTGATTTTTTACCGGCAAAAATGAATTACCCTGTGCAGATTATGTGCAAATGAAGCCAGTCTAAAGAGATCAAACTCAGTTATCAGAGGAAGAAAATACATTTTGTATCTTCTATGGAATAAATAGAGGAAATTTATGGCAATGCACACAGTCCCAGCATAATCAAAATTTATCTGAAAAAAAAATCCAATAAAGGAAACATATTTATTGCACCATGTCTGTTTTTAAATAATACCCATGATTTTTAAGAGTCCCCAAGAACGCAAAGCTAGCTTAATATTGAGGTTCTTTTTTTGAAATCAGGTTAGTTGCTTTACTTTTAAACTTTATGATGGTAAAAAAAACAGTTCTAGATGATAAAGAAATGTGCGAGTGTGCACGGGTGCTACCCATTTTTAATAGCTAATGGATATAAATGTGAAAATAAAATTTGTAGGTAGAATTTATATATGAAGTGTAAATATACTTATTACAGAGAAAAATTATTCTACATGGCGATCATGAATAAGTGTTGCTTTTAGAAGAAAAAAACGTTTTGAGCTTTTTTATTACCTCATTTGTTTATGCATTCACCCACACCTATTCTCTGTAACTGATTTTTCTTTTTGATACAGAACCCAACTCCCACACTTCCTGTCTCTTCAAATCTCACCTATCCGGTCATGGAGCCTGAGCCGTACCTGTACGTCGTAGGACGGAAGAAGCTGATGGATGCGCAGTACAAGTGCTATGACCGAATGGAGCAGTTGCCTCCTTATGAAGGAGAAGGTAAAGAGAAGCACGTGTGTGAAGCATCACTGAAAGCCTATTTTGTTCCATGGGTAAATACGAGTTGGAAATTTTCATGCGCCAGCCGTTTTCACAGCTGTCTTCGCACTGTGGCGTGTCTGTGTGTTTCACGCAGTAGATAGGTTTATATATTTTTTCTCAAGTTCATCTGACTTCATTTCGGCTAGCATCTGCCCTCGTCACAAAACTTAAAGGACACCTCGGCATTCGCAGCTGGCAAAAGGGAACAACATGGGGCTGAGCAAGGGAGAGGAAGACACAAACCACAGGAAGAGGAGGTGGGATGTGAAAGGCGGAGAATTGGCCTGAGATGAAACCCATAGAGCCTGTCTGGTTTAGGTTAATCAGGTTCTTTCGCTTCCAATTTGATAACTACTTCATTTCCCCCGCTGGAGAGTCAGAAAATGATACATCCTGGGCCAGCGATGGTGAGCCCTTTAGATCTTTCAGTGATGCAGACAGACCACTGTGGCACGGATGCCGTGGGTTCACCGCCACTGTCCTAGGCAAACATTATCACTTTCTGTAGAATGATCTATGTCACTTCCCAAATATACCTAGAGGTAAGCGTATTCGTTTAGCTGTAGAACTTACAAAAATGAAGACAAACTGATAGCTAAGCATTGAAACATCTATTTAAATTATTTTCTTTGACCCTTAAAATACTCCAGAAGGTTCAGTAAGACCTTATACACCCTTGCATTATCAGACAACCCAACCTGGTAAAGACATCAATGATTAAACATTAGACTCTGTTACTATATAGAGAAGTTTTAATTTTTAGTTCCTATTTTTAACACTTTCCTCTAAATAAAAAATCAAGTCTACTGAAAGACAGAGACGTGTTATTTTTCTGTCTGCCATAGTTTCACTGTAAAGGAAAAGAATGGAAACAAAGATTTTGTAGATAGGGAAGGGTGGAGGGTTGAACAGAGGGCAGGGGAATGGGGTAAAAATAAGAACCAAGATACATCATCTAAAGGTACCAGATCACAATGATGCATGTAGCTGTATTGTATACCTAAAATGTACCAACAAACTTAAAGGAAAAAAAAGGGAAAGAAAACAAGAATTGAAAGGCATTAGAGGCAAGATTACCCAAAAAGGGAAACCATTTCCTGAATCAAAGAAAAGAGAAACAAACTAAAAATACCCTCATATTTTCAGAGCCAAAATGAATGCAGCCTATTTCACTTAAATCTTAGCTACCTTGAAAGGATGAAGTTTTATGCTCTGATCTTTTTTTTTTTTCTAATTTGAGACCTGCTTCCAAAGCCTGAGTCTCATTCTTTTGAATAACTTTATAGATATATAATTTTCATGTTTTAGAGTAAATTTAATTTTTAAAAACAGCAAGAAATCTCTTGGAGCCAATGTTGACAAATATAAAAAGTGATCAAACTGAGCATTCTAATTGTTGTTGTTAATATCCATATCACAGGGGCAGGTTCCAGAATAAGGTATATATACTTACTTGTCTATGCACATTTAATTCCTGCTGAAGAGTCGAAAATTTTTGACAACTCTCAATTGTACCTTCATTGTCTTATTTAAACCTGGTCTCCAAAATACAATATTTGGTTGTGAGACTATCAAGGACAAATTCCAGGTAAAATTCAGTTGCCTCTTGTCAATTTCTGTACTTCATGGGCTATAAATAAATTGAGTGACTTAAAGAAAAAATTGTTAGCTGCAACACGCTGAAACTTTGGAAAATCTGTTCTTTGTGAATATTTCCATTCTTGAAATTTATTTCAAAAGTTTGAAGAATTGATTGGCATCATGAATTTTGTCAAGTAATACTTTCTTACTGAATTGCTTTTTAAATCCTCAATGCTGGTAATAATGGGAAATATAACACACCTGACAATGTCTGCAAGCCCCATTTATCTAAATCCAATTTCCTGGTTAGCTATTTTAAAGAAGGATAAAGTTTCAGGAAGTAAAACGCATCAGCATACTCAGAACCCTTTTGACTAACACCTAACATCGGCCTAGGATTTACGTGGCACACAATTAAGTAAAAGGAGAGAGTAAAATGCAGTCCTTGGAGCTACTTGTCTTGATAAGCTCAGCTTTGGAACCTCTTAACAAATAAAGCTAGAACCCTCCTTATCATCCAGTGATATAATTAGTTAACACATATGCTAAAGCTATTTCAAACTTTATTTTTGAGATAAGTGACTTTGGCTACACGTCAGATGTCTTGGGATCAGTCTTCCCCTTTTATGAAAATCACATAGAATATTAATTTCTTTCTAATGGCCAGGACCCTATTGCAACCGCACTTGGGACGGATGGATGTGCTGGGATGACACTCCAGCTGGAGTCCTCTCCGTTCAGCTCTGCCCGGATTATTTTCCAGACTTTGATCCAACAGGTAAAGAATTTTTTTCATTTTATATTTTTGTTATGATGGATCTGAAAATAAAATCAGATAGAAAATGTATCTATGTAGTTATACTACCGATTGTAGCATGTTCTGGTTTCCTTAATTGAAATATTACTCAGCTGTCACAGTAGTGAAGTTTATCCCCAGTTTTAGGTCATATTACCAGTTAGTTGTTTGTGTTGGTGATAAATTCTGGTTTATAAAGTTAGGTTTCCTAAACTAGTGGAAAGTTTTAAATATGGAGTTTTTATATTGTTTTCAGTTGGCACACGTTTTGTAACATGTAAATTCTTGATCTAGAGTTTGTATACACTGAGCTAGAATGACATGAACACTGGATATTTTAAATAACCTTAAAAATTATATGAAGCTGTCATGTTTAAGGAAAAATAAATAAGAAGACAGTAACCGTAAATAGCAAACCAGTTCTGGCAGCAAGGTATTAAATAAATTTAGTAAGTAAGACTAATTTCACAAAAATTGATTTTATCAATATCCAGCTCTGTCCTAGGGACAAGAATAACTGACAAATGTCTGTTAAGTAAATGAATAACATATAAGTTGCTTTAGTTATAAAACTCACATAGGAAGGTTTTTCACTGAATATCATCTTTTACTTTCAAAATATTTTCATATAGGGCCAGGGATTTGGCTCAGTGGCACCGGGCCTGCCTGGCAAGCACAAGGTTCAACCCCTGTTACCAAATTCATTTTATGTTCACAATATTCAGTACAAAACTTCAAGTTAATCCAAATCTCAGCCCTTACCTAACTCTCTCTAAATAATTTAAGCATAACAGTGTAGAAAACCATCTGAGGGCCGCTATTTATTAGTCTTCATACAAACCTATGCAAGTTTGAAAACTTTCAGAATTGTTAAGGGAGGAAACATGATTTCCTTGGACCTCCATCTTGTTACACTTGTGTATCTAGAAACCGGGTTGCGATGATCAAGCAGGATGAGGGTCTAGGGGTTAGGTTCCAAGGACCATGAACGATTAAAGTGCTGAGGTCACATGTCTTAGGGTGTCAGATATCCCAACAGGCTGTTGGTCTGGAACTGGAAGTGCTCTGGGGTTAGTGCTCAAAAACAATCCAGAAAAATGTAGATAGGGGTGTTATCCTTGATCAAGAGTAAACAGAGAGCTGGGGATTTAGCTCAGAGTTTCCGTCACCGACTGCCTCACAAGTGTAAATTCCTGAGTTTGATCCCCATACCCCCCCAAAAAAAGAGAGAGAGAGAGAAAAAACAGGGAGATGGGAGGTAAAATGTGATTGGGCAGGTAATAGTAGTAATTCGGTGAGTGATTCACCACTTGCCAAGAAGCTGGGGAAACTTGCTTTTTTCAATACTGAAGAATAAAATCACCCAAAGATTCTGACTTAATGGGTTTGGGATGCAGCTTGGATAGCAAGATTTTTAAAGTTCTGTTTGTAATTCAATGTAAGCCAAGAAGAAACTAGTAAACCTTGAGGAAAGTCCAGATAAGAAGGTGGCTCGGACCAGGGAAGCTCAAGCCAGTGCACTGAGCAGCTGTGCACCATATGGGACGTGGCAGATGAGGGGAGGGTGTCCCCAGAGGGTCGGAGGTGGTAGCAACTCAGGTCCCGGAACTGTGGATGCCAGGGCCAGAGGAGTTCTGCTCCAAAAAGCTAGATACAAAATCTGTGCCATTGAAAACGGGTATAAATCTTTATATCAAGGAGGCCCACTTGCTGCAGTTAAATGGATTAGCTGCAGACACAACAGCTAAGTCCCTCTGAAAGGGGGAGATTATTTTTTTCCCCAGGGTAGAGTGAGCCACAGCAGCAGAGGATGTGTAGGTGGCTCTGGGATCTCAGTTTGCTCCCAGAAGTGTGTGCACCCTTGGGACTCTGTTTGGAAGTCTCTTTCTGTGCTTCCTTCAAGGAAAGGCCTCGTTTGTCCCTGAAATTAACTTTCGACCAAAGTAAAGCTGGGATGGTTGAGGTAGGATTGCAAGGGACCTCTTTCAAAATCAGTGCAGGCTCAGTCACTTCTGGGCCTTTCCATTTTGATGGAAAAGTTGGGATGGGAAGAAAGGAAGAGTACTGAGACGTGCCCTGAGTCAGAGCAGCATTCCTGGAGGTTCTAACAGACTGCTGTGTGATGGTAGTCCTCTTCCGAGCCTGTATTGACTCTTCCCAGTCCGTGGTGCTTGATTTGACAACTACACTAGAGGCCCCTTGATTGGCTATTCTGCAGCTGAGACTGCTAGGCCGGCTTCAGAGGAGCAGAAGGCCAAAAACATAGCAGTGGGCTCTAAATATTGACCACAAGGTGAGATTTTGAATAGAGATTTCCAGGCATACATCCATTTTTTCAGCTAGGTTTTTAGATGAAGCCTCTCGGCTTAGGAATAAATTCACTTCAAAAGAAAAACATGTCTCAAAAGTGTCTATATTCAAGAGACATTGTTGTACCCAGATCGCGATATCCCCAAAGACCACCAAGGAGTGGAGTCCGATGTAATTACATGAGGAGTTTATTGCAGGCTCGAGCCCGGCAAACTCTAGCCTAGACCTCCAGTGGCACCGTCACAGCGGCTTCGAACTGAAGGCCCCGACCCATTTTCAAGACATGCTTACATAGGGCTGAGGATGGATACTATTTTTAACTTTCCATTACGAAGGGTTATTATTGGGACACTTAGGGGAAATACCTCATGTTCATGAGGGGAATTATCTCATACTCATGAGGAGCTCGGCGGGGGGCGCTCTATTTCTATTTTTAAGGAACACTTCATGTGATTACACAATTAGCCAACTCTCTATACTCAGCAAAGCCTATAATATCTCTAACTTATTCACTACGAGGCAACTATCAGGGAGGGGTTAAATTCACTCTTGGGTCAGAAGAAGAGGAACAGAAAAACAGGGAAGAGGTTGTTATAGCCCTTGCCCAGAAAACTTGGTCGTTATATTCTGAGCAAAGGTCAAAGAGGGAGACCACCTCGATCAGAAAACTTGATTCCTACAACATAATTCTTTTACGATTTCATTATTGACCTAAAAGCTACATGTTAATGATGTACCAAATATTATCACAAGATGTCAGATAAATAGTGGAATAAATAAGTAACAGTGTTGAAATTTAGAAAGATGTGACAGAAATAGGCCAGAGCATGAAACAAATCTAACAAGGAGGCAATCAAGGCCTTCCACTTGAGTGAAACACTCAAGATTAACAGCAGTTGATGATCAAAAAGTGCTTTAGCCTGATACCCTTTGGATCTTATGATATGAATAGATGGATAGTGTTTTATTTTGTTTAGTTTTGTTTTTCTGGTACCTTCACATTTATTTTTTTCCAGAGCCTTCATACTGAGCCTCAGTCTTACAGAGCACTAGGACTATAGTTGTGCCCCACCATGCCAAGATTGATGATGCTTTTTAAGAATGCTAATTCCTGGCCCCTTGCCAGGCCCACAGAATTTGATACTCTAGGGACAGAGCCTGAGAATCTGTTTGTAAATGGGAAAAGGCACTACCTGCTTCAAACGGCTCACATGAAGATAAAAATGACGCAGTGCATATTAAAACACTTTGTGTAATACATAATCCGTAGGGTCTCTATTGACTGATATTTATTATATTCAGGTTCTAAACTGACTAACACTTTGATATGGTTTTTTAGCTTTCACTTCTTAGCTTTCCTTTTGGATCTTTGAGATATTAATGTCATGACTCTGATGTTTCTTTAACAGAAAAGGTTACAAAGTACTGTGATGAAAAGGGGGTTTGGTTTAAACATCCTGAGAACAATCGAACCTGGTCCAACTATACCTTGTGCAATGCCTTTACTCCTGAGAAGCTGCAGGTGGGTTTCATTTCTGATTTCAATATTTGATAAAATGTCATTTTTATATGGAAGTAGATGCATAACTATAAAATATATGCTACCAAGAATCCACCAGGATTTTTTTTTTTATTGAGTTTATTGGTACATTTAGGGATACAGTACAGTTACATTCATTGTTGGGATCATGTACCTTTACATGGCAAGTCTTGATTCTCATTTTTTTCCCCTTACCTCTGCCCTCCCTTCACCCCCTCCTCCCCTCCCCATCTACAAACACTTTATTTTCATCTTTTCATTCTCTCACATTTTTTTCTTTTCCCTTTTTGTTCTTCCCCTACGTATCACACCTTCCCTACACCTTTAG